TATATATATATATATATATATATATATATATATATATATATATCTATATATATATATACATATACATATATATATATATATATATATATATATATATATATATATATATATATATATATATATATATATATATATATATATATATATATATATATATATATATATATATATATATATAGAGAGAGAGAGAGAGAGAGAGAGAGAGAGAGTGAGAGAGAGAGAGAGTATTATATTTATATGTTTATGATAATATTATATTTTATGATATAATATTATATGTATAATATGATATAATATTATATATATAATATGAGAATATTATATTTTATATGTTTGATCTTACATACTTTGTAGACAAGATATAATGTTTTGAGTTTTTATTTTTAATAATGTACAGAAAAAGAGAGTTTTAAAAGGAAAACATTTCAAAGATAATAAACAGTTACACAACCAAACAAACTACTATACCAAAGACGATATACCAAAGACGATATACCAAAGACGAAATACCAAAGACGATATACAAATTACTTAACTACAATTATAAGTTTAAACTATATTAATTTTTCCTTTCTTTTGACGATACCGAAATCCTAGAAATTTTTGGAAACTAATCCCGGGATTTCGGGATGAACAATTTGTACGAAATCCCGGGGATTTTGGGATTTTTGGATCCCGGGATCCCGGGATCCCGGGATTGCCATCCCTAGTCAAAACCACTAAAAGTTTAAGTAGTATCAATTACAACAATAAATTATGCGAAAACGCTTTTTAAAAAAACTAGTAAAAACCCTTATTATTTCATTAGATAATATATTAATTTATCATAAATAACACAATTTAGTAAAAATTTTTTTGTTTGTTTACACTTTTTATAAACTTATTACGTTTTATTTACATATTAAGTTTATTTTTACCTATTTTACTTTACAAATTTATTTAAGCTTGTTGAAGAGATTCTAACAACAAGATCTTTTGTGATCTTTTTCAGATACCTTTTTTATATTTGTTATATATTAATTTGTGCAAATTTGTGAAATAATATTTTTTTATTATTGGTTATATAAAATTGTATAATGATAAACAAATGTAAACAAAATAAACAATTCAAGAAGATGTTCAAGAAAATGGTCCTTTAATTAGAAAGTCAAAGGATTATAATCTTCGTCATCGGCAAATAGCAAGTCCAATAGCTGATCTAATGTCAGGTCTGTAAAAGTGCTCCTCCCAATACTCCACGGATTTGACCACTTCACGAAAATGGTGGTTCATATGGCTGCATGAGTCTATCCATAGACACATATCCATAGACCATAGAGTCTCAGACACATATTGCTAAATTTAAAAGATGCCGAAAATTACTTTTCATAAATTTTGAAACTACTTTAAAGTTAATCGTGATACGATTAAAAGATTTCATAGTATTCTTCCATTACTAACAATCAATTAGATTTATACTGAACTGAAATAAATTAACTTGTAGTGATTTTGTATGACTGGTATGTTATGTGTTTTACAGTAGACAAACTGCTACGGCATAGTTCTTCAATATAACATAAACTATATTTGCCAATTGAGATATATTTGGAAAATGTGACAGAGGGTTTAAATAAATAAATGAATAAATAAAAAATTTTTAGACTTTAACACAAAAATATCAAGGTCAAAAGCTAAGACGAATTAGATGCACAGAGGTTACAGTTATCTTGCAATTATGGGTCACCCACAAAATTGGATCAGCATCACTTTCCATTGTAAATTTTGCTTATTAAAATAATTTCATTCCACTCAAAATGTTTTATTATCAATTAAAGAATGAAACTACTTTAAAGTTTTTTAAATCTTAATTTATTTTTTATAATTCTCGCTTATTATTTTGCAACTGAGCCTCTTTTGCGGGTCGTTCAGGTTAGCACCCATGGCACGTGTCCTGCCTGCCCTACCCTAGATACGCCACTGAATTATAATGCTTTAATTGCTATTGTTAATACTCACAAAAAGAAGAAAACCGCAACAATATTACAAGCTGTCAAAAAGTAACAGCTCAAACGTCATAGTTATTGTTTTGCTAAGAAAGCAAAATTTTTAATTACGCGTTTTTTTACTTGAACCATTTGTTATAAATGGTAATAAATGGTAATAATCAAAGCTAAAAGGTATGTTTAACTAGTTTTTAATTATCTGGCCTGGAAAATCTAATATAATGGACTTAATTTTATAATAAAACTTTGATTCATTTATGTGTTGTTTTTTTTTTCATAAGAAGTATCACATTTATGGATCATTTGAAATAAAACATGAAAAAACTAGTTTTTATGTTGTTTTTTGGTTCAAGCAAAATAAAGTCTTCGGGAAGAAGTTACACTTTGAACCAACTATCTAAAGCAGTTGTAATTGTAAAGAGAACCAAAATTTTGCAATTCTTTAGTCAATTTTACAAAGTAATATTTTTAATATCATTAAGACTAATAAAACTGGTTTTGAGACCGTTTTGACCTCCGAAGAAAAAAATTGAAGACACAATTATTTACCTTGGAAAAATTAGAGTTCCTATCACTTGAGGCAAGATTGGCTATTTTTGTTTCTAATTATGTTGCTAAAATCTAATATCAAAGGCACATTCCCAAAACATTTCCATCGAAAAATTGGACTTCAAGGTATTTACGCTTCCAATCATTGGCAAACGAATAACAACACTTTTGGGAAAAGCTGGTTCGCAAATCACTGTTGTTTATGTTAAAAACTGGTTTTAAGAAATCGAAGAGTGTTTGAACCAGGAAAACTCTGACAGAGTTGCAAACTTTGACGAATCACAATTTGAAGATTTTCAACGAAAATTTAAGGCTCTATTCGCTACAGGATCAGAAAACCTGTACAGTATTTCAAATAATTGCGAAAAGAAGGGGTATATTGCTCTTTTTTGCAGCGTAGCTTAAGGTAAAAATGGTTACACTAATGATTATTTACTCAGGACGTTGAATTACAAGATTGTTCCATCAGAATGGGTTGTAAGAATCTCATATGAGGGCTGGCAAACCTCTAAAACATTTTATGAGTAATTGTCAAACGTCCTTGTTAAATGGCTTAACATAAACTTGAAAAAATGTTTAAAGACCCGTCTTAATTTTTGTTGGTGGTCATAAAAGCGATGGAAATATCCAGACCACCATATATTGCAAGCTAAACCGTTTAATTCTCATCTCTTCCCTACCGAACGCAACCAGAATCCTTCGGTCACTGCATCGTACTTTTTTTGGACAATTGAAAAAAGTTTGGTACCAAGTTTTAAAACTATGAAAAAACATAAAAAATAAGAAGTTTTTATTTTAATTTAATATATGACGTCATTTCATAGTTACGCTGGTTAAAGCTGCTTATTTAGAATTAAAGATTAAAATTAAAAATTAAAAAGTAATATATATATATAAGTATAAGCATAAGAGTATGACAGAAAAAGAGTAATATTCAAAAGTGAAAATTATATAAAAAAGATTTGCTGGATTGCTGAAAAACTTTCCCCATTCCTTTACTTGGTGGTCTGGATCCGCCCTTGGTATGATGTGAAACCGATTGGTAATTCTAGTTTAATATTCAATACTTCAGGAGAAACAGAATAATTCTAAAAACATTTTTATTTATAAATCATATAAATCAGTTTGCTCAACAGCGTGAAGACTTCATTCTAAATTTAAACCTACATAAAATAAATTTAAAAAGTGTTGAATATCTTAAGATCGAGAGCGACTATGTTGTTACTTTTAACGAAAAGAGTTTAATTTAACATTAACATTTACATACTGCTCAAATGCAGAAAAAAGAATAATTTTATTTTTGTTGGATTATGCCCTATATATAGATTGTTATTGTAAATATTTCAAATGTTTTTGTTGTTTTAATTTTTTTTAAACCATTTGAAATTTAATTTATATATAAGTTAACTGCGATGATTGGAGGCTGGAAACCCAAATATTTTTGCCCCTTTTTTGACCCAAACGTGAGAGCAACAAGTTGATAAAATATTTTTTTTTACTATTCGTTGCGCAGTGATTAGAGCGCTTGCTTTAAAAGCAGGAGATCCAGGTTCAATACGAACTCTGGACATGTTTTCACGTCATGGTAAGGAAGGAGGTATTAACTTCCTGGTTAAATGCACTTCCGCGGTGCTCTAAGACAAGACCGTTAGGTCTTCTTGGGGCACCTAAATTTAAAAAAAAAACTTTATTCTCAATCAGGCTAATATTCATCAGTAAATTATAAATTTCATAATATAATCTCTATGCGTTCAAAAAAGTATGAAAAATATCTAAATATTTTGTCAACTTTTTGCTCACACGTTTGGAGCAGGAAAAGGGGCAAAACTTTTAGGGCTTTTTTGTTCCCATGCTTCAATCATTGCAAAGCATCCTTATTTGACATAACTATGAACATATAAATGTTCGGAGTTTGCTCCATGTCTGGGAATTCAAAAAATACTTGGATCCGCACCTGGCTACGACCCCCTCAATTTTGCTCTTTTGCATCATTAACGACTCTTAGCACTTTGATCGGCTTTTAAAAAAGCAATCCTATACTTTAGAAAGAAAAAAAAAAACATTTCATTTGAGTGACGCTATACGACCCCTGACGGTCTTTTTGAATAAAAGTAACCCAACGGCAAAAATCAGTTGTCGCAACGTCTCTTAATTTGTTTATAAAAATAGTTCTGAGATCTTGTTTGGCGGCGAGTTTTCTCGTCGTTCCTAGAAAAGTAAAAAGTTTATGTAATAAAGTATAAAATAAAAAGTCTAAGTATAAAGTATATGGCTTTGATTATCTAAATTTTATTAAACTATAGTTAAGTGAAAGCAACTGAGAGTATTTTTTTGATTTTATAAGTAGGTTTGCTGATAAAAATGTTAAATTGTTAATTAAATGTAGTTATAATAAACTTTTTCTATTATTTTTGGAAAATTCTTAAAAATAGTGCGAATAAATATTAGTAATATTTATTTTACATTTCTTATATTATAGTTATACAAAATATGTATGCTATAATATAGTTTTAAATTGGCAAAATGAAATGGCCAGTTCACAATGAATAAATTTAAATCACAAAATAAAGAACACCTAACGGAGGAAGTCAACAAACTAGTTTCTGCTTATAAAGATCAACGATCAATTTCATGTAAACCTGAGTTATTAGGAAGTTCTAATATAACAACTTCTAATCTAAATACACTAAACTTAAGTCCATGGGATTATAGTTTAGATTCAAACATTACAATTAAACCTGAAAAAGATTTAACATTTGAAAATAAATATGTTGACGAAAACGATGACATAAAGTCAAATTTATTAACAGCTAAAGACTATTTTGATTGGTTCAAAATGTATAATACACAGACAGGTGAAAGGAATGCTGTTTTTTTTGCTTCTATAAAGACAGATTCTATTTTCTATGAAGAGAATTATTTAAGCTTGAAATTTTTGCTTGCAGGATGTAGTACTAGTTTTAAAAGAGAGTTATCTACTCTATTATGTCCAATCTTTGTTCATTTTTACCTTGACTTAGTAGCGAAACCTGATCTGCCTGCTGCACAATCTTTCTTCACAAAATTTAATCATGACCACGAAGATCAACAAAAAGAGCTTATTGAAAATCTTAGTAAGTTAACTGATATCAATCAGTTAAAATTTTATAAAAACATTAAATTACTTCGGGAATTTAAAACAGTAGTAAAATTGTCACCTAATGTTTACTTATATTTACTGCAACATTTAAGACACGGAAATTATACTCTTGTTTTGCAGACATTAAATTTTCGATTTTCTTTAAAAACTTCTCATCCCATTTCAATAAATAAATCAATAAATGACCTGGGAACTTATGATAATGACTTTGATGAATTTAATATGTCTTGGTCAACAACTGTTACAGAACAACAAGCACTTGGTAGCCTTAATCAATCAATTGCAGCACTCAACAGTTCTAGCAAAATATTTAAGCCATCTATTTGTTTATACAGCTTGCAAAGTACTTATAAAGGGTCAGTTTTCATAATACAATAAGTTTATATATATATATATATATATATATATATATATATATATATATATATATATATATATATATATATATATATATATATATAATTTATATATATATATATATATATATATATATATATATATATATATATATAATTTATATATATATATATATATATATATATATATATATATATATATATATATATATATATATATATATATATATATAATTTTAAAAATCAATATTTAATTTATATCTTATAATCAACTAATGATCTTTTATTGATATATACTTATTTGTAGATATCGGTAAACATGCATTCATGCATGCTATTATTTGTTATTGATATACTTTGAAGCTTTGTTGAAATGCTAACTGACAAACAAAGACTTTTTTTGAGCATAGTTTCCAGGATTCTGGGAAAGAAAAACTTTTTGTATGTTAATATTAGTGATACTTATCTTTTGCAAAAGCTATGGTCATTTAAACTAAAAAAAAAACATGATTTTAGTGCTCATACTTCATAAGTAAGCGGTTTTGAGTTCAATGTCCCTGGTAGTACCGCTCTCAATACAGTAGCCTCCTTGACTGTCGTGGCCCTCTCGACCTTGAGTAGATAAATTACAAAAAAAATAATATCTCCCATAATAAAACAATGTTGTTGGCCCTACTCACAACTTTAATTTTTTGCAAAACATTTTTACTCACTACAAATAATAACATACACAAAGTTTGTTTTTTTGAAACAAAAATCATTATTTTTTGGAATTTACTTTACCTCAAATTTCAGAAAAAGTTCTTATTGTGCTACTGTAATCCATTTATTTTGTTGATTGATCAATTTGTAGAATATGTTGTTCCTGCTTTTCGTCCCAAAATACTTCACTGGCAGCTGGATTTGACGATTCTTCTGTTCAACTGTGGAGTTTGACTCCAAAAATATTTTTCGATGGTAAACCTAAATTTTACATGTTATAGCTAAGCTCTGTAAATGACAAGTGTATTTTTATTTTTTTGATATTAATGGCAGAAAAAAAATCTGAATCTATAACATTACGTGGTCATAGTGGAGTGGTTTATCAGACGCATTTTCTTCCAAACGACAGCCATCTGCTGACATCTTCTAAAGATAAATCAGGTGAGTTTAATTATTGAGTAAACAGAAATAAAATGATTTACAGATTTGGTTAATTTAAAACTAATAACAATATATAATTTAAAAAAAAATTATGATAGTTCAATAGAACATATTAATAGAACACATTAATTTATAAAAGAAAAGTTTAATAACTAACTGCAATTTATTAATACTCAGTTATGTATAAATAACCAGGTTTAAAAAGGAAAACATTAGAATGTTAAATAGCAACTGTTACTTTAAAGGATAATTGTATAACAAAGCACATTAAAGGATATTGTATAACAAAGCACAAGTTTTCAAAATGATCAGAAAAGTTTTTTTATTATATTGTAGAAAAACAATTTTGTTCCTTGAAAAATCTTTTTAGAGCCTTGAACCTGGATTTTTGAATAAAGTTATGATGTTACTAAAAAGGAGAGAAGACAACATAAAAAAATTGAGAGAACTGTAGCCTTGTTTTTGATAAAGTGATAGGCGGAAGTACATTGGAATTAAATTTAATGAGAAATCAAAGTACTAAGTTCATGTTTTGATAGTTTACATGTTATCAATAAGATAAAATAAAAAAACACTTATTTTTATACTCATTTGTTCAACCAATTGGCTAAAATAGTAAATAATGCTATGACGTATTTACATACAATTTCCACATGCTTGCTTCAAATGGAGTATCTAATAGTTTTTGAGAAATTTCTTTTTAATTGCAGCATTAAAGTCATTCTTAAAGGTAGCCATTTTGTTTTGACTATAGTTTTTGTTTTTCATTCTTAAAAAATTTCTTCATTTTTTCTACCTCAAGATATTGCACTTTAAAATCAGCAATTTTAACAGTTTTTTTTTTGTTTGGTAGCCATTTTGTTTTGACTATAGTTTTTGTTTTACAAGTTTAACATGTGATTAAGATTGAATTCTAGGGCAACGATTACATCTATGCACCATGTATTCCCTTGAATCTCTGCTACAAACAATCTTCTCAATAAGTTCATGGTAATTCTTCTCTAGTTTAACTGCGCTAAGAATAAGCTTAAGGTTTTTTGTACATATAAAAACAGCATAGGTGTCTTTTTGATGAGTTGCATAAATACACCATTTTGGCTTTAACTGAACAAATTTGGAAATCCCTTTTTTGGACTGCTCTAGGGTGCTCTAGTTTGAATTCAATAAATAATTCCTTTAAATTGCAAAGAAGTAATCACTTTGATACATGTTTATTTTAGATAAGCATTAAAAAATCTTTTTTACCTGGCAACTGCCAACTGAACTGATTATTACAATAAAAGCTTCCACCTTATTAATCATATCTGATTCAATTCTAAAAATGTTAGTTTTTTATGGAAGTTTTAATATTTCTTTTTCAAATTTAAGTTTCCTTGCTTTAGTTATGGTTGACTTTAATATATTTAATACTTCAGCTGCTTTCCTTAAAGACCATGTACCAATGTCTAAATCTGATTCTTTTCTCTTCTGTTTAAAGTATTAATTTATCTAGATCTTCAGCTTTTTTCTGATCTTCAACATTGGGCTCCTCAGTAACATCATTTATTTCATGAGGAGCCCAAGGATCTGGTCTGTTGTGTTAACATTCAGGATAACTGATGGCTTTTTTGACATAACATCAGTTGCTTGCATTAATTTTTTTTTCCCAATAGAAATTTTAGCATGTTGTTAAACCCCGTGAAATTTTATTGATGATACATCTAATTTATCAAAACTGGTGTTTATAAGTTTTTTCTTGTGCAATTTCTATATCTTTATCAAAAATTTTATTTATAAATATTTCTCAAATATTTTATAAAATCATCTTCATCGCTGTGGTCCTGTAAGACAGACCAATCATCTATTTTTTTTTATCACTTCTTTTCGACATGAAGGACACATTTTAAAACCAGGTGTTGTTTCAATATCAATTGAACACATACCTTTTGCCAGTTGAATGAAGATTTCTTGCAAGCCACCTGTAAATATATTATAAATGAAAATTTGCCAAAATAAGGAAATAATAATTTAAATAATTTAATAATTTTAGAAATAAAATTTAAAAATTAAAATTTTTAAAACCAGTTAAAAGTGTGCTAGATGTATTTTTTGTAAAAAGACTGCACAATAAGTTTTATTTTAGTTTTATGCCTTTTAAATGGGTTGATGCAATTTTTTGAGAGTTGACAAACCAGTTAAGTAATATTCGCTCTTGATGTAAACAGATTTTAACATCAATGATTAATATTGATAGCCCGAATCTCCATAATAAAAAATCTCTCTCTGAATAATAAAAAATACCTTGATATATCTTTCAATCTAGTTGATTTAGTGTATTTCTTTTTATGAAATTAATCATTTGATAAAATAGCAATTGTACACACAAAAAAAAAAAAAAATTTAAAAACTTTATTTTTTCAATTTTTTAATCAACTATAAATAAACACAAAATACATAGACATATACATTCATTTTAAATGGAGAAAACATTTATCATATTTTTTAAGTATGTTTAAATATGATATTAAATATATAATTTTTACTCCTTAATTAATGACATAGTATGTCATTAATTAAGGAGTAAAAATTTATTTTAAAAAGAAATATTTATTTGAATTAAAGTTTCTTTGAATAATAGGTTAAATGAATTTTCTTTTGTATAATTTTTGATGAAAAATGAAAACAGGCAATGTCAATTAATTTAAAAAGAAATTATGAACACATACCTATAATACTTATTTTTTAACATAATACTTCTATATTTTTACAATAAATTTTAAAAACCCACCTCTCAATTTTGCACCAAAACACTCATTAAAATATCTATTTTAATAAAAACAAAAAAAATTCACAAAAAATTACTGCTACCATGGTTACCAGACCTCTGTTCTGACATTCTTAGAATTTCAAAAATAACTATAGGTGAAGTACAATCCCCATATTGATATAGTTCTAAATGTTTTCACTAAAAACAAATATTATATTTTGACTCCTCATAATTTTCAGCTTAATCACATGTATTGTATTATTTGTAGTTGGACCTGCTCTAGCTACCAAGCTTGAGCCACTCTTCTGTTGTCATAAGGTTGCATCTCTTTCTTATTTCTGCAAATAGTATCATGGTCGCTGCTCAAACCAGCTTTCATCTTAAGCTCCATCTACCAAAACTCATTCTCCCTTGACTTTTCATTCTGCAAAGAAGCATCCTTTTACTGTATCTGTCCCTTCATGCTCTAAATTCTTTTTTTATCTAGTTTTTTTCCCCACTCTTTAATGCTTTAGAACTCTTTCCCATTTTCATGTTTTTTGGATCATACAACCTTCAACTTTTCAAGTGTTCTGTCAGCCAAGTTCTCTATCTTTAACACTATTCATCTTACCTCCAAAGGCACTCGATTTACTAATGCTGCATTTTTATAACCCAGTCTTGATAAACATTCATCACTTTTAAGATCTCTTATAACAGGCAGCCATTCTTAAATGTCGTCTTAAAATAACTTATAACTCTTATAATGAGGATTTTTTTTTTAAACAAGGTTTAAAATTGTAAATGCTCTAGCTGCTAAGCTTGAGCCTCAATTTATTGTTCCACCATCGCAAGGTTATATCTCTTTTACATAATAATGCTATCATTTTTTTCTAGAAGTACTACCACAGTTGCTCTCAAATGAGCTATTGTCAGTTGTTCAATCAATCTTGCCTGATTTACCTTTAATTTAAGTTAATTTTATTTACTGTAGCTTTTCCTTTATATTCAAAAACTTTTATTCATCTAGTGTTTTTCCTTAAACTTTAGCACTTTTTCTCCTGTCCTTAAGTTTAAAAAAATTATTTAAAAAAGTTAATTAGTTAAAAATCAATAACAGATTCCAACTTTTAACTTGCCAAATAATCTGACACACAATATAAAATTATATTGCCCACCAAAGTGGCTTCCTTCCATTTTTTTGATCAACCTGCTGGTAGTATTCATGATCATGCTATGCGAATAAAGTGTCAACTGGTAAAGCATTGCGAACAGAGGCCAAAAAGTAAAAAAAAGAACAGAGGCCATGTTTAAAAAGTAATTAAAGATAAAATGCATACATTGAGCTATTAAATGACAAATATATATTAACTTGCCCCAAAGCAAAATTACTTTTATATTCCCCTAGTATTATCAATTTATTAAAAATGTTTTAAATTTAATTGAATCTTTTATAACAGTTCAGGTCTAATTTTGAAGACTTTTAGATAAAATAAAGTTGATTTAAAAATCTTTTTTATTCTTTGAAAAGAACATTAATCTAAAAAACGAACCAAGTTGGAAGTTACTAAAAAAAGAAAAGAAAAGATTTAAGTTATATAGGAAGGAAATGGTTGACAGAATACTTGAAAAGTTGAAGGTTGTATGAGTCAGGAAAACATGATGATGGGAGAGAGTTTTCAAGCATTTAAGTGCAGGGAAAAAAGCTAGACAAACTGTCCCTGTATATTTTAAAAACTAGTCACATGTAGAATATACAGTAAACAAATGAGACTTTGCTGATTTGCAAGTCAAGCGAGAATGAGTTTTAGTAGATGGAACTAGAGATGGTTAGTAAGTGACCGGAGCCCCGGCCCTGGCTAAAAATGAGACTTTTTGCAAATCCGACCTGGCAAAATGATAAGATTTAGCAGGGGTTGACAGCCAGGGCTGGAAATAAATTTATAATTCTTTATATATTATAAATTTATATTTACATTTACTATTTATTAAATTCTGTCATATATTTATGCTAGTATTTAATTAATAGGGACAGATACAGGAAAAGGATGCAACTTGTTGAATAAGAAGCCAAGCAAGAATGAGTTTTGGTTTATTGTAATAGAAATAATAGTTCGTTTGAGCATTGACCATGATTAGAGAAACAGCGTAAAAGAGGAATGCTAAAGCCTGATGATGTCATCATCATCAAAGAGGATCGAGCTTAGCAGATAGAGCGGGTTCAACTATATTTACAAAGCATTTTTAGATCTTGTCTAGAGAGAGTATCATTAGAAGAACCAGCCAAGAGAAAGGGTATCATTAGAAGAACCAACCCAAATATTACAACAGTATTCATTACTGGGATGAATAAGTGATTTGTAGATGTAGAGAATGAAATTAGGAGTAAGAAACTGACAAGCTTGATAAAGAGAAGCAACTTTAGCAGATGCTAATTTAGCAATCAATTGTATATATGGTTTCCATGAAAGGTCAATAGTAAACGATAATCCAAGAAGACTTATATAAGAGGACTCTGAGAGAGGTTGCCATTCATTAATATAGGAATGTCCACAGCATTGTGATAGTTGTTTGCAGTAAATAACTGAGTTTGGTTGGAGTTAAAATTTATAAGCCACTGCAAACCCCAATATGTTACAAAAGTGAAATTAGATTCAGGAGCAGTGGCCTGTTTTAAGTGATTAAATTGAGAAGACTTTTCTTCAAGACAGGAATATAAAGTTGAGTCATCAGCAAAAAGAAATACTTAAGATGTAAGGTTGTCAGGAAGATCTTAACACATAGATAAGAAATAAAACAGGACCAAGGATATCATCTTGAGGTACCATAGAAGTAATTGGAAATGAAGAATAGTGTTGGTCTTTGACGATGACTTAGAATAAATTGGTTAGAAAAAAACAATTTGATTATCTCAAAAACCATATGAAGCAAGCTAAGTGAATGGTGTGAAGGAGATCAGTATGCCAAACTTTGTTGAAAGCTTTAGATATGTTAAGAGTAGGCAAAAAAACAAGGCTCAGTCAAGCACACATTAAATAGTTTAGAGAGAGTTGAAGAGAGTTCTGGAAAACAATTTTGTAAGACTATGACAGGAATGTCTGGACCACAAGCCATAGAAGATTTTAATTGAGATATGATTTTAGCAACAGAAGCTGTAGTGATTTAAATGTCCAACAATGGGTTAACTTTTTAATTGGAACGGAAGGAAGAGAATGGCCATAAGATTCCAGAATCAATTTAAAAAAAAATTCTTTGCCTTATCCTCGGGAGGTAATAAGATCAGTCCAATGAATGAGAGAAGGATCATTAGATCTACTCTTGCTAATAATGCTGTTTAAGATTTTTCATAAGTCTATAGAGCCTAAAATCTTAGATAAGATATGAGATTTAGTGAAAAGAAAATAATAGAGCTTAGTATTAGACACCTTTTTATATTGATTTCTTGCAATAATAAGTAGCCTTTTGTTCTCAAGAGAATAGTTCTTTTGAAAAAGATAAAAAAAATGATTGCGATTAGATATAGTAGCTGCACAAGATGGTACAAACCATAGTGTGAGACTCGACTTGGAACCGAAGAGAAGGAATAAGAGCTTCCATTTCTGCCTGAATCCATGAGGTTACGGAGGAGACGCATTTATCAGCTAAGAGAGAAAAGATATCAACCTAAGGACCTTGATTTAATTAATACAGTTTGTGTCACATGTCTTAAATAAATATAATAAAAAATAAATTTTGGCATTCCGGCTGGAAATCATTTAATTCTGGCTGGAACCAGAATAACCTAAAAGTCACAAAATCCGGCTGGAATTCGGGTACATCCCTCAAATCAGAAGAAAATCAGAATCCCTATTAGCTTTAGAATAGTAGTAAGTAGTCCAACGATAGGGTCCGAAGAAGAGTCCGAAGAAGAATTACAAGATAAAAGGTTTATAGAGATCATTGCATGAACCACCTAAGGGAGAAATAAGAGAAACTGAATACATGCTAAGATCAGAGACAAGACATAAATCGAGGAATGAAAGTAAATAGGGTTGTCAGGAAAACAAGTCACAAAATTAACTATCTGAGTAAGAGGTTACGAATTGCAGAAGTTATAGGCTTTAGTGCCAGCAGAATCAGTGGCATTAGAGCCAAGCCATTTAATGTGATAAGCATCAAAGTCACCAATAACAACAACATTGGCAGAGGGGCAAAGAGAGCATGGTCAATTTGATCAGAATTTACATCTAAAATAATGCAGTCTTGGGAAGAAGTAGAACGATGAAGAACAAAGAGAAAGGTGATAGAGTGAAGAGGTGCTAAGCAGAAGCGCATAAAAGGATAGTCAAAGGATTCTTATCTGATTTCACAAAAAATAGGTGAATTGAGTTGTATGTATACCCCCAAGCCAAGCATGTGGCTATTGGAGTCTTTTTAAATCAAGGGATAGTACCCACTGAGATCTGAAGAAATAATAGTGAAATTTAAATTAATCTCACAAAGAGTAAGCAAGTCTGGTGAATTTTGCAAAAAAAGTATTTTTATTGAGACACCATCTCTAGCCTTTAATTAAATTAACCAAGAGCTCTAAGGTAGGGAATTTTTAAGTTGGGGTTTGTTTATCCTAGCCTTTTGCCTAAAAATGTACACCTTACAAAGCAGCATGGCATGTGACAGATAATACTGGGTCACATGATACCGGTAGGAGTGTGATCGTAATGATCTGAATTTGATTTGACCTGGAGTTGATAAAAAGAGTTACTTCCTGTAAACAGTACTTTAAAACATCAGGCATGATATTTTGAAAATGCATTAGGAAAAACATTACATTTAACAAAATACTAGAGATTAAGGTGACCATAGGTTTTATGGTTTAGGTCACTAGTTAGTTAGCTTAAACTGCATCGGTGATTTAAACAGAACTCAAACATACATAGAGTAACTTACGGCTGAGTAAACACCACGCCAGAGATTCAAACAGAACACAAACATTCATATTTAAAGTAAATTATGAGTGAACCAACATTGTGCCAGAGGTTCAGACAGAACACAAACATACATCAAGTACTATGGGTGACAAGTAACTATGGGTGAGTCAACACCATGCCAGAGGTTTAGATAAAACACAAACATACATATAAAGTAAATTACAGTTGAGATAACACAGTAACTAAGGCACCTCCAACTGTATAAAAGACTCACACAAAAAATAGATAAATTAATTAATTAAAAAATTAAATTAAAATTAATTTAAAAAAAAATGTATATATATAAATATATATGTAAATAATATATGTTAACAATATGCATGCTCGTACCGTAAGGGGGTCGTTGGGTGGGATTAACCCTCTTTTTATAATAAATTCTATTTGTTTCATGCAAGTTTTATAATAAAAGTTAGGCAAAAAAAAAAAATTTATTAGCTATTCTTAACCTTTTATTGGCTATACTAAACCTTTTATTGGCTATTCTAAACCTTTTATTGGCTATTCTAAACTGCCTTTTTTTTTCAAAAACGATCCCTAAAAATTTTCAGGGTACGGGCCTGATATATGTAAAAAGTATATGTGAAAAAATTTTTACATATAATGTTTGTGAAAATTAAATCATTTTCATGAGATCATAAATGAAGATTTTAAATATGTTTTATGAAAATGTGAACATAAAATTGTAGCTTCATGTATTTTATAATTAAATGTTAAATTAAACTTATGATGCTTGATGCTGTTTTGGAAATCAGATGTTTGTTGTTTAACTTATTGATTTGTTAAATAATCAATAATGTGTTTATTCTGCCTTTTTTTATTATTATTTTCTGCTTTTATTTTTTATTTTTTAGTTAGGTTGTGGAGTTTGAAGGAGAAAAAATGTTTGTCTGAATACAGAGGTCACGATTCAACTGTATGGGATGTTACTTCTTCATCCCCAAATGCAACATACTTTGTGTCTGCTTCTTTTGACAGGACTTTACGACTTTGGAATACAGAGTATATTTATCCACTGCGAATTTTTGCAGGTCATACTGACAGTGTAGATGTAAGATGTTATTGTTTTTTTAATTTGAAAAAACTTTAAAATAATTATAGTCATGATAATTATAGTAATAATTGTTTATAATGATAGTAATATATTAGTTATAATGATAAAGTATTAATTATAATGATAGTAATATATTAATTATAATGATAAAGTATTAATTATAATGATAAAGTATAATTATAATGATAATAGTGTATTAATTTTAATGATAAAGTATTAATTATAATGATAAAGTATTAATTATAATGATAGTAATATATTAATTATAATGATAAAGTATTAATTATAATGATAATAGTGTATTAATTTTAATGATAAAGTATTAATTGTAATGATAAAGTATTAATTATAATGATAGTAATATATTAATTATAATGATAAAGTATTAATTATAATGGTAGTAATATATTAATTATAATGATAAAGTATTAATTATAATGATAGTAATATATTAATTATAATGATAAAGTATTAATTATAATGATAGTAATATATTAATTATAATGATAAAGTATTAATTATAATGATAATAGTGTATTAATTTTAATGATAAAGTATTAATTGTAATGATAAAGTATTAATTATAATGATAGTAATATATTAATTATAATGATAAAGTATTAATTATAATGGTAGTAATATATTAATTATAATGATACAGTATTAATTATAATGATAAAGTATTAATTATAATGATAGTAATATATTAATTATAATGATAAAGTATTAATTATAATGATAGTAATATATTAATTATAATGATAAAGTATTAATTATAATGATAATAGTGTATTAATTTTAATGATAAAGTATTAATTGTAATGATAAAGTATTAATTATAATGATAGTAATATATTAATTATAATGATAAAGTATTAATTATAATGGTAGTAATATATTAATTATAATGATAAAGTATTAATTATAATGATAAAGTATTAATTATAATGATAAAGTATTAATTATAATGATAGTAATATATTAATTATAATGATAAAGTATTAATTATAATGATAGTAATATATTAATTATAATGATAAAGTATTAATTATAATGATAAAGTATTAATTATAATGATAGTAATATATTAATTATAATGATAAAGTATTAATTATAATGATAATAGTGTATTAATTTTAATGATAAAGTATTAATTGTAATGATAAAGTATTAATTATAATGATAGTAATATATTAATTATAATGATAAAGTATTAATTATAATGATAAAGTATTAATTATAATAATAAAGTATTAATTATAATGATAAAGTATTAATTATAATGGTAGTAATATATTAATTATAATGATAAAGTATTAATTATAATGATAAAGTATTAATTATAATGATAAAGTATTAATTATAATGATAGTAATATATTAATTATAATGATAAAGTATTAATTATAATGATAGTAATATATTAATTATAATGATAAAGTATTAATTATAATGATAAAGTATTAATTATAATGATAGTAATATATTAATTATAATGATAAAGTATTAATTATAATGATAATAGTGTATTAATTTTAATGATAAAGTATTAATTGTAATGATAAAGTATTAATTATAATGATAGTAATATATTAATTATAATGATAAAGTATTAATTATAATGATAAAGTATTAATTATAATAATAAAGTATTAATTATAATGATAGTAATATATTAATTATAATGATAAAGTATTAATTATAATGATAGTAATATATTAATTATAATGATAAAGTATTAATTATAATGATAATAGTGTATTAATTTTAATGATAAAGTATTAAATGTAATGATAAAGTATTAATTATAATGATAAAGTATTAATTATAATGATAGTAATATATTATTTATAATGATAAAGTATTAATTATAATGATAGTAATATATTAATTATAATGATAAAGTATTAATTATAATGATAGTAGTGTATTAATTATAATGATAGTAATGTATTATTTATAATGATAGTAATGTATTAATTATAATGATAGTAATGTATTAATTATAATGATAGTAATGTATTAATTATAATAATAGTAATGTATTAATTATAATGATAGTAATGTATTATATTGCTATTACTATTACTATTATTGTTATTTATATTGAAACATCAGAAAATATGGTTTCTCTCAAAACTAAATTAAAAACCATATTTTCTGATGTTTCAAAGATATATTATTCACTCTCACACAAAATGCCATCCTATAAATATATTTAATTTATAAATATAATTATTTTCTTTTTATTTATTGAGCAGAAGCCATGAGCTATTTTTGACCTTTTCATTTTTTTGATTTATGTTTCGAAAGCTGTTTTTTTTATTCTCTTAATATTTAGTTTTTATTACCCAAGATTAAGGAACAGTGAAACTTTTTCCGAACTTATACAAATAAAAACCAAGCAATAAAGCTTTTAAACAAATTTTATTTTACAATACTTTTTTTAATAGACTTTTGTATATGATTATAAAAATGGTTAAAATAAATGGTGCCGAAAATTGGAACTTGCGGAAAATCCGAGTTAACATGTAAATGTAAATGCAATGTTACGGAGTTAACATGTAAATGTAAATGTTACGGAGAAAAAATATGGAGAATTACTTTGATAACATTAGTGGAATAGTAATACTAATGTCATCATAGTAACACTAATAAAATTTAAGACAGCTACATATAAAAGCTGTAACTAACTGGAATAAAATTTGTTTGCAGTTTAAAAAAATTGTAGGTTTACAATATTTGCTAAATATCAACTTGAGACTCTTTGTACAATAAAAAGACAAGCAAACCAAAAGATAAATATGGAAATAAATGTGGGGATATTAAGATTGATTCAGATGTGACCTCTGTTAATAAAAACTTTGTAAAATTAGAGATAAAGAAGTTGGAAACCACTTGTTTATTCAATTAGTGTTTATCCTCTTCGTCTTTTTGATTTTTTTAAAGAAAATTATATTTTCTTTAACCCTCAAGCAAAAAATTCTTTTTCCAAAACAAAATAATAAAATCCTTCCTTTAATAAAGTTTTCTGGTAAAGTAATGAAAAGACGCTTTAAAATAAAATTTTGAAGATATTAATAAGTGTTTGTTTGAGCAATGTGACCTTTCACAGTTATGTAATGCCTCAAAGTAGTTTTGAATTATGTTTAAATTGAGTACACTTTATTTGCTCAAATATGTAAAAATATATATTTATGCTTGAAGCAGTGTATAAAAGAATTTCTTCATAATCAGCAAGTGCTATGCTTCTTGATAATGAATCATATAATTTGGGAACTTGTGAAGATATAATACCTGCTGTTATGATATTGGTACAACAATTTAAGTTGGTGTTAGATAAAAACCACTTCATGACAAATTGGGTAGGTTATTTATTTTCTTGCACAGTAGATAAGTGCTAGACCTACTTGTTTCAATCACACACCGGATAAGTGTTAGACGTGCTTGTTCCAATTACACCTAATAAATGTTTGATGTGCTTGTTCCGATCACACACCTGATAAAAGTTAGACGTGCTTGTTCCAACTAGGGCAAAAGCTAAACATAAATAACTCTTGCATGTTATAGAGATTATAATACCATTTTCATACCTATTTTTAATGCTGTTAATTTTAGTCTCATATATATTAATTTCAGCCCATCAACTAAGATATGCAAAAAACTACATTATTACTTATATTTTTGAAAGGTTGATTTTTTTTTTTTTTTTATTCATTCACTTTTTTTCACTCTTTTTATATTTGTTGTATTTAAAATATTTATTTTATAGTTTATATGTTTATTTAAAGAATTATAATAGATTTTTGAATAAATTTATTTACAGTGTGTAAAGTTTCACCCAAATGGTAATTACTTGGCATCTGGTTCTACTGACAAATCTTGTCGTCTGTGGGATATTCAAACAGGGCAGTTTGTTCGTGTTTTACTTGGCCATAAAGTGAGTAAATTAGCCATTAAATCCATCTCGATCTAGTGACTTATCAATTTTTTTCAATGAATTTTTCTATTTAGGCTCCAATATATTCTCTAGTATTTACAAGGGATGGAAAAAACCTAATATCAGCTGGAGATGATTCGAAAATTTTGGTTTGGGATTTATCAAACGGAAAGTTGATTAATGAAATTCAAACTTCTTCGAAAGTTATATATAGTTTAACTATATCGTCCGATGGCACTATGCTGGCATCTGGAGGATTTGACTCAGCTATAGAGGTTTGGGAAGTTGAATCCCTTTTAAAAGAAAATGATTGTCATAAAAAAGTAACTTGCGAACCAATTGGCAAATATCGCACTAATAAAGATAGAGTTATAAATTTAAAGTTTACTCAGGGGAATTTGTTAATGGCAACAGGTTTTTGTGATGAGAGGTAGTGCTCTTTTTGTGATAAGAGGTAGTATCACTTTTGAGAAAAAGATATTAATTTATTAAATTTTGGACAAATTTCCTTAACATATACCCAGCCACTTATAATGTTATTATACTTATTTTGTTTTTTTTTGTTGTTTTTTTTTTTTTTTTGGGGGGGGGGGTTGCAATACTGGAATACGTTCCAAACGAATTACTGCATTTTTCGGGTCGCCGCAAAAATGCAGTTTTTTTAATAACGTCGAATAACATCTTGTTACTAGAATAATAATATTGATTAAATAAATCAAAAGGGATAGATTTTTGACTTTGAAGTAGAAAATAGGCTCAATCACGTGTCTATTTATTGACATAAAAGTGTAGGCGCAATGTTCGTGCATCGACAGACGGGTTAGGTTTTAACAAGGTATACATTTTTAATTATGAAATACTCCCTCCCTTCCGAATAACTGTTCCGTTTTGCATTCAACATTAAGAATTGAGCTGGTGAAAATCAGAACGGTGTAAATCAACGTTTCCTCAATTTGATATATTTAAGGTTTTATGAGATTAAGCGTAGAGAAAATTCTACAAATTAAAAAATAAAAACAGTTGCCAGTTTTTATTACACCCATCTCAAGCCATCTTACACCCGTCTCAAGTTTAACATAATAATACTTTGTAATCATAAATATTGGCATAACTCAATTTTTTTTTTTTTCTTGACTTATATCATGATGATTCTCATCAGCTCAATTATTGAAAACAAATTTTTTTTAAACAAATATATTTTTTAAAAAAGAATGGTGTGCGGTAGTAAACTATATTATCGGCATAAAAATGTTTATTACATTATAGAAAACGTCTAAACTTTACATAAAAAATAAAAACAATAACAATTTATTTTCAATAGTTCATTATGTTAAATGCAAATCGGAACAGTATTTTGGAACGAAGGAAGTTAATTATCTTTTTTTATCCTTCTATAAGAGAATTGACAAAAGAAAGCCTCTTTTAAACTGTTATAAATTAAAATCTGAAATTTGAAAATAAAATGGTAATTTAAAATCATTATTATAATAAAAAGTGTTTTTCAAATTACAAAAATTACCCAACACAAATTTCATCTTTCAAATTACGTTGTTAAATCACAAAAAATATATCTTTTTCTGATAAGATCAGACAATTTGATTTAAAATGGCCATCGTTTTTAAGAGAAAAAAAATTATAAATAAAGACATTTTTAAATTGATAAAAGTTGTAGGGGAGAGTTGCCTTAATTGGAACACTTTGTGAATAAATATTTATTAACTAAAGATGGCTTAACTATGAATACATTTACGATTTGATTAATACAAACAGACAACCATACTATACTTTTAATGATAGTTTGACTTAATTGATTGCACTTTTAGCAATTGGCTCCCTAAATTGGAACACTTTGATTCCTTAATCAGAACAGGTTGTTTTTTTCAATAAAAAACTTAGTAAAATCAACAAAAATTGATTGAAAATGATTTTAATCTTTACAGTGAAAATTTAAACAGTTCATTCAAAAATAGGATTAGTGACAAACTGAAAGTCTACAAACAAAAAATTGTATTAAAGCTTCAACTTTCACGACGTTCTCTTAATTTATTGATTAAATCACTTAATTTATTGATTAATCATTAAATAAAGTATTATTTTTAAGGTTTGTGATTTTTATTAAATATTTTTAAATTGCGCTGAAACTATTTCTATACAGTAATCCTTTGATTTTATTACTGTAAAGAAAATGTTTTAGTTCCAATCAAGAAAACTTTGGATTATTTTTTTATATCACTGCAATATCATGCTTGCAGCAATTTATAAGACAATTTTATATCGCATTTTGCATTTTAAATCCAATCGAATTAAACACAAAAAACCTTATAACCTTTAGCAGTATAGTTTACCCAGCGCAATCAATATATTGTAAACAGAAAATTAGACCACCGAGAAAAAAATGACGTAAAAAAACTTTAAATCAACGGTGCACATGCATTTTTTGATGAATAACTTTCAAAATGTGTTAAAACCTAAAAAAAATAATGCGTTTTACTAAAAAAATGCAAAATATAGCCATAATTAATTTTTTTCAAAAATAAATGCAATTGCATTTATTTTTGAAACAAAGCATTTGCAACCATGGTTGCAAATGCTTTGTCCAATACTCTATGTAGCTACTACTCGATTTACTAACATATGTAAATAATAACATATGTAACTACTACTCGATATACTAACATGTAACTACTACTAAATTTACTAACATATGTAACTACTAACATATGTAACAACTACTCGATTTACCAAACATATGTAACTACTAACATATGTAACTACTACTCGATATACTAACATATGTAACTACTACTTGATTTCCCAAACCGCAAAATATTTTCGCCAAAATAAAGTCTCATTTTCAATTTTAAATAATAATATCCGAAGTCTTAACAAAATCTTTAAGGTGGTTATCAGGTAAAAAAATAGCGATTTTTGAGAAAAAATGTGTTTTTTAGTTTATCAGCCAACTTTGTTTAAAATTTAATTGGCTTTTTAACCATATATAACATGATATGGGTTAATTAATAAAAAAATGTAAAAAAATTGTTTTAGTTGGTAAGAGTAAAAAAAATTTACTTAACAACCGCATAGCAACCAATAATTTTTTATAGATATATTACCCAAAGACCTAGATTTAAACAATTATTTCTTTTCATGGGTCTGTATAATTAACTAAACTTTTGAACCAGAGTTATTTTTAGCAAAGCCGTATGTTTTGATGTTATTTGTTAAGCAGAAAGAAAAAAGTTTAAAGTTGCCTGGATGGCGCAACACAAAATCCAAATGAGGCTTTCAACCAGATAATCTGGAAAAAGTGTCCAAAAAATATTTTTGTTACTAAAAAGGTACTAGATCTTGGTGTTGCTTCAGCTGTAATAAATTACAATGATGGTTTGAGAGGTTTCACAAGAATTTTTGATTATTTGCAGCTCTTGCCTGGAAGTTTTATGATCCAAGGATCGTGGAAGAAGGACGTATCAAGAGTAAAGAACACGATTAAAAATTCAACTCCAAAGCAAAAAAGGGCTAGAAGGAAAAGGAGATGTATCAGGAAGGGTTATATTGATAAGGAGAAAGAAAAAGAGGGAGTAGACTCTTATATTACAGGAAATTTTTAATTAATAAATTGTTTTTAAACTTTGAAGCTTGATTTCTCAATTGTTTGTTTTTGCCTGACTGCAATAAGCGAATCATTCATATCTTTTTAACCAGATATGCAATTGAGTTCAAATTTTCAGGGTTGTTTCTTTATAGATAGAACTGCAATAGCTTACTAGAACTAATCTTAAGCTTGTTTCCATTTGAATATATTCATATTTTACCTTTTTTTTTTGTATCAATAATTTCCGTTAAAATTGAAAAAGCTGCCATTTTAAAAATAATAATTATTTTTAGTTTTTTTAGTAAGCTTTTGTTTAATACACTATAATCTATCAGTGTTGAAAGTTTTGGCTTATAATGTCATAAAGAGGCTGAGAAAATGTTGTTTTCTTTTTTCATTGATTTTTTTGCATTTTATGCTGATTCAGCAAAAAAAAAAAGGAAATTATTTTTTTTTTATCATTTTTAATTATATTAATAAGTATGTTTCTTTTAAACTAACTTTGGTATATGATTAAGTTGGCAATCAAAAAATAATTTTTTTACCTGATAACCACCTTAAAGATTTTAAATTTATACTGGACGAAATAAAACATGATATCATCATTATTTGTTTTACAGAGACTTGATGTAAATGTGAAGAAAATGCACAATTTGAATTTAAAAATTATACATCTATTTATCAACCGGGTAAAACTCATGCTGGTGGAGGCGTTAGTGTTTATATCCACTACTCGATCGACTTTGTTTTGCGTAAGGATCTTAGTGTAAATGAAACAGATTGCGAGTCATTATGCACAGAATTGGTTAAAAACATAATCATAAATACTACTTATTGACAACAAGGTGGTGATTTTAAAACATTTTTAACTCATATTAGCTCATTCTTAAGCAAAAATAATAACACACAAAAGCATGTTTAGATAATTGGTGATATGAACATAAACTTGTTGAAGGTTACTTCTAAAAATAATTTTAAACATTTTGCTGATACTCTACTTGAGCACAGTTTCATTCCAACAATTAATAAGCTAACCAGAATTACTAAAAAATCTACAGGTATATGCACCGCAAAAATTAACGCTCCCCAAAAACCACACGGACACATTTCGTGGTGTAGCCAGGCCTATTTAAATATAGTAATTATAAGAATGCAGTTTTTTTGTATTCAAATGTTCAAGCTAATCAAAAAAAAAACATTGATATATTTATAGCATAAAGTAAGTTTCTCTGGTTTTTTAAAGCAATATTTTCAGTAAAAATTCTATAAAACATGCAAATGTTAGACTAAGTTAGCAAAGTTAACTTTTTTAAGCTCTTGAGTGTCTTTTTCAAAAATAATCAAATGGTTAAACCAATTATAAGTATTATATTTGATAAAATTGAGTGAAGTTAAACTTAGTAGTGATGTGGTTTTTAGGGTGCATTTAGCAAATAAACATTAAAGTCAAATAACACAACAAATAGAATAATGTTTATTATAACATGAAATTATAAATTAAGCATGACATTTTACAAGAATGTTTTAGTTACACATAAACTCAATATTCATAAATCCTTCGTTGCTCTCTGAATCACTATCTGCATTAAATAAGCTATTACTATCTTTATTAGATAAGTTATTTTTTCAATCTTTTATTGGTCTTTGCTGCGGCAGGAAAAATCATTGTAGTTTTTTTTCCATTAACACGGCACGCTAACTTACTACATTTTAAAATATTGTGGCATTTTGGGCATCCCCTCAACTTTTTTACTGTAGAAATGTTTTGGGCATTCCCTCAACTTTTTTACTCTACAAATGTTTTGGGCATTCCCTCAACTTTTTTACTCTACAAATGTTTTGGGCATTCCCTCAACATTTTTACTCTACAAATGTCTTCAGAACACATTTCTCTTAACATTTAATAAAGACTTTTTTTTTCTTGTTCTTTTTTTTCTACATTTTGCACTTGTTTTCAAACTTTTTGTTTTTTCTTTTCATTAATGTCTTTAACTAAACTCATCTTTAGCTTTCGTGGACCCATGCACTTGAGTTATTCGTGTTGAATTGGTTGATAGATTTGGCTTTACTTTTTTTAAGGTCATAAAACTTGGCATTTCCTCTAATTGGATGCTTTTTTCATGCAACTCTTTTATCAAAGTTTGAGCATTTTCAATTTTTTTTTTCCAATACAACGCTGATCCTTTTCTTTTATCAGGAGAGACAACAAAAGAGGAATCAGAGCTCATAATTGATGGCGCGGATGAAACTGATGGCTCTTCAGGAGTCTTCATACAATTTTCTGCTCCATCAAACTTGTCTTGTTACAAGAATTCAACGCTCAAAGCTTCATTAGTTACACCAACTCGCTTTGCAGCTTTTATCAGAGAGGATTTTGTTACCCATTTATCCCATATATTAGCTAAAATAAACATAAATGCTTCTTTGTTTAGTGCATTTGCCTCAGTAAACATTTTGTCTTTTTTTTTTCTATATTTGTGATGAATATTTTTATTTAACTGGTTTAATAACTGTGTAACCCCTGTTGTATCTGGAGGAGAAAGAAACATTCATATATCTTTTGATTGAAGGAATGACATAACATGATAATCAAACCTCGAACTGTGTCCATCTGACAATAGGGCTACAGGTCTTTTAGTATTGTTCTTTTTCAAATACTCATCAAATCGTTTAACAGCAGCTAAAAGTGTATGGCCATCTGATACGCCATGTTCTGAAGTGGTTATTAGTAGATGTTTTATGTTAGTTGCTGCTTCATTTGGTACCATCAGGCTTCTTATACCAACATTGCCAAATATTACTTGGCACATACAGACCTCTCCTGGAATTGTAAGATATAGTTTTATTAATAATATTATTTCAGTTTAAGTTAGTTTAAAAAGTTACTAAGAAAAACAGTTTTATTACTTTCATTTTTAAATATATAAAGAATCTATTTTAATCAAGTCTCAATAAAATGAGATTTTTTAGAAAATGTAGATTATAAAAAAACACCATTTTTACAGCTGTCTATGATGGAGCAAGACCAACCAATTTGTAAATAATGAATACTAAAATAAAAATAAACCTGAGAATGACACGAAGGGATTAATTCTAATACATTCTCTGTTTTCTTTTCGCATTTTTTTACATTGATCTCCTTTCGCAGCATCGACCAAAAGAGAAGTAGTTCCATCATGAATTGAGGAAGTTCATCATTATTAAAAATTCTTGTGGTGTCAATATTTCCTTTCCAAATTCTTGTCTTAATTTGCGTTGCTTCTCTCATAATTCCAGCTGCAATAAGTTCCTCTACTAGTGCATCTAAAATATAATTGATTAAATCAGTTATACCTATTAGCACTTTAAAAGAAAGGAAACAGCTTTAAAGGGAAACACATTGTTATAATATAACAAGTTAGGTATACATGTATTCTTCAAAAACATAAAACATAACATTTTTTCAATAACAAACAAACCTAAGTGATTGCGAGCCATTTTCCTTCTACAATTAAAGACTCTGTTGATTGGCACTTGTCCCTGACGTTTGACTGTTAAACTATCATGTTTTGCATGAAATTTTAGCCAAAATGAGCGACCAAATCTAACAAAAAATAAAGCAAACAAATCAAAATATTTTTTTAAAAAGTTTTTTTAAGTTTATGTAAATACAATTTAGCTATACGAGTGCTAAAAATTTAAGCTATTTGTAAACATACCGTTGATTTTTTTATTCCAATTTTGAAGCAGATGATAGTGGCTGATATTTTTGTCCTTTTCCTAATTTCTTGTTGGTGTAATCTCTTATTTTGAATGTATCTAACATTAATTTGGTCAATTGTGCATTATTGATACCTTGCAAGGAGCTATTTTTATTTTTCAAAAAACGTACAATTGAGTTCTCTTCTTCTTCTAATAATATTGAGCAGTATTGTCGTTCTTTTCCTGTCTTTATTTTACCATTTAGACGTCGATTTATTGTTTCTCAATCTTAAATCAAGCGGAAAACTCCTGATTTAAAGGCACACTGCCCTCTTACACTCTTTTCTTTGCACCATGCTACAGCTTCTACCAACTGTTTGTTTTTTGCATTTGTTTGCTTTTGTGCAACTACTGCTTCTGTTTTACAAATTGGATTGAAAGACCTTGTTCCAAAACGGTAAAATTAAAAGGTAAAATTTGTTGTCATTTATTATACAGGAATAAATATTTTTAATATTTATTCCTGTATAAAAAATAAAAATATGTTTACAAGTTACTACAACAATAACTTAAAGCATAGACAAAATGAAAGTAATTAAGTTAGTCACCTAGTATAGATACAGGTGTATAACAAAAATAAATGTGTTTGATGGAATTTTAAGATGTATTTTTAGATATCAAAGAAACACTTATGTGGTTTTTGGGATGCATATGATGTGGTTTTCGTAATGAAAAACAAACTAAGAAAAAAAATAAGTCTACAGTCATATAAACAATTTACTCAGAACATCATAAAACTAATGCAAATCAAATCCTGAAGCTTAAATTTATTTAGATCATGTTTTATAAGCATTTTTGTTGATGTGGCTCTTGAAGTGCATAGTGAAAAAGCAATGACTTTTTTGACAGAGTGAAAATATAGTAACCATTTATAAATAATTTTTTAGCAACCCCCAGGAAGAAGTTATTTTTAGTAGTAGTAATCAAACATATAAAAAATTTTGTCAATACCTCATCTAGAAAAAAAAATGAGTATGGTATCATTGATGTGATTTTTGCGGTGCATATACCTGTATTCGATGATATAATAACCAAAAATTTCAATGTTTGCTCAGGTATAGTTAAGACAGACCTTTCTGATCATATTCCCATTTTCCTAACTACTAAAAACATAGCCTAAAACAATACCTCTTTTAAATCTCCTATATACAAACGAGAGATCAATCAAAACTCCTTACAAATTCAAAAATTTACTAAAAAAAATGAGTGGGATCTTATATTGTAATCAAACGATACGAACAACGCCTAAGAACTTTTTTTAGGTCAATTTTGTAAATAATATTAAAAAGTGTTTCCAGTTAAAACTGTTGTTATAAAGTCACTTTTAACTCCCTAGATGTCTAAAAGTTTAATCAAGTCCTCAAGAACAAACAAAAACTCTACGACAAGTTCGTAAAAGATAAAACTTATAAAAAATGAAATAACTTAAAAAATTATAAAAACTTTTTAAAATGCTCTTGATGTAATCAACAAGCTAGATTTTGAGTCATTAGCTTCATTACATGCTGCTTTAGAGCCAGTAGAATTCTTTAGCAGAGAAGATGCAACGTTATCGATAGCAGATACTGTTTTTGAGATCATGGTTGCAAAACTGTTTGCTATGAATGCAGAAATCGCATCTTTATTTTTTCGATGAAAGAATTAACGGAAATGTTATGCAGTTGTTAAAGTGCCTAAAAGATCCTTCAGTTGTTTCATGAAAAAATACATTAAATTTTAAAAACAATTTAAATTTTGTTGGAAAACTTACATTTAGGCTTTTTGTATTTACTTCTAATGATGAGGAGCCATTACTAGCTGAAGCACCATGTACAACATCGAAAAATTCACCAGTTTCTCTTAAGGATGAATTAAATGCGCCTCTCAATTAAGATAACCAAAATACAGGTAAAAGAACAGAAAATCTTGAAAAAATTTACAATGCGATACTCTCTATAAAAGCCTACCTAAACAGATGTCGAACGCGTTTTTTTGAGCTGCACTAGTTCCTGTGTAATAATCAGATCACAATTACCTGATGAATTGTTAAAATATTTAGTTTTCTTAAATATTTTTTACAATAAAAATAAGTCATTGTAAGTTTTATTTTGAAATATAAACATAATGTTAGAACACTTTGTTTATAACTTTCAAAAAGTACCGTTTGAAGTTATGTAATCACAACAAAGAAAAAAAATTATTTTTGTATTTTTTATCAAGTTTTTAATGGTGTTTTACCTTCTCTTCGCTTTACCTTCTCAGAAGTCCGATTTCTGTTTTTTCTCAACATCAAATTCTAACAAATGGAACAGTCTACGATATTACCAGTATGATATTACAGAAAAAAGTAAAAGGTTCGAGTCTACTCAAGAAAGTTTTTCATTCAAAACAAAGAATGGGGGTAGGGAAATATGGAGATATGTTACCTAAGATAAATTTTTAATATATGGAAATATGCTGGCTTTAGAAACTAAATAAGTTGTACATTTCAATGCGAAATACAAGTTATTTTGCCTGGAACACAGTTACCAAAAAAATAACACAAGAATCGGTTTGAAGAATTTCTTGAAATTTTGTTTAATATTTCTCAAAAAAATATAGAAGCAAAAACAACATCAAATAAAGATGAATGATCGAATGCTGCAATGATAGAAGATTTGACTTTTCTTCAAGATCAGAGAACATTGAGGAGAAGTATGATGAGTGAAAGTATGACATTGATATGAAACAAAGAGTTAAAAAGAGAGTTAAAAGGTATGAAAGAATAAGATCTTATGAAGAAAAATTTTTATTTACTTTATTAAGTCATTAACGCTTTTTGTTACTTAGGTTCTGCAGCTCACCAGTCTTCAGTTGCTAGTGATAATAATTTTGACTTCCCAAAAAGCAATGAAAATCAGCTTCCAACACACAAAGGTAAAGCGTCAAAAAACATTTAAGTCCAGCCGTTCAAAAATAGCAATAGAGTATGACAGAGACAAGTTTATATTAGCTACAACACTTGTTAGTGTTAGATGCGGAATTAGCATTTGCTCACAAATAATTTTTATAGGAGCTGTTATTAAAGCTGTAAGGGGAAATGTTCATGATTTAAATAGATCTAGAAGCTTAATAGCTAAAGGGAGATTCAAGTATATTGAAGATTTAGGTAAATTTTTTTTACATTCAAAATATTTATAATGAAATGAAAAATAATGATTATAAAGAGAAAAAAAAAATTTTAATTTAAGAGCCACCATCAGATCAAGCCTTTATGAACAAATGTTGGGAAAGACATTGATCTTGAACTTTGACAGTAAGTTGGTAAAAGAAATAGAGGAAAAGTTAAAAAATTACAGTTAAAAAGAAAAAGGTTGCTATATATGTTAGCAGCCCTGAATTTAATACAAAAGTTAATCGCCTACTTGGAATTATAGCTGTGGAGAGCACTAAAGGAAAAGTTTAAGCTATTGTTATTCAAAACATTTTAGAGTATTTGTGCAAAAAAAATAATCGTACACTAAAAAAAAATCATAATTTTAAAGATTTGCATCAAAAAAATGAGTTGTCTGTTAAAATATTTAAAAGTTTTTTTTATATATCTTATCAAGTATTGTTTTAAGAATTTATTTGTGTATTGGTGAACTAATTGCTTTTTAAACCTATTGAATTTTACTCAGTTGATCTAATTAAGCATAAAATTGACTGCAAAAAAATAAATGTACAGTTCAAAAATAATGTCAAATTGATCAGATTCCATCTAAATCCACTAATGCAATTGATCAAAATATCATTAATGTCATCATTAATGTAAAGAAAAATAAATTTTTTTTGCAGCTAAATTAGCTTTAAAAATTCAAGAAAATTATAACATCACAGTGACTCCTTAAACAATCAGAAATTGTATAAGAGAACAAGGATATAGAGATATAGAATGGTTTGAAATAAAGCTTTTTTAACTTCTAAACAAATGTAAAGTTGGAAGGAATTTGCATCAAAAGTACTTAAAAAAGCTGATATCATATTGTAAAAATATTATGTAGTAAAATGAGTCAAAATACATTCTCGTCTCATTGAATGGAGTACAAAAGGTGGGTGAAAAAAGGAGAAGTTTATAAATTGAGTTGTTAGCGACGTAGTGTAATGCATGGAGGAGGAAATGTGATGGTTTGGGGTAGTATGAGTTGAAAAGGAGTGGGGAAATTTATGTCTATTAATGACTAAATGGAGGCTTCAATGGAGTATGAAATTCTCCGAGCCAACTTGCAACCACGTACTTAAAAATTGAGAATGGGTAGCGATTTCATGCTCCAACAGGATAACAATCCTAAACCAACCGCTAAAAAAACGAAGATATACTTTGACATAGATAACATCAATGTTTTGGAATGGCCATCTCAAAGTCTGGACTTGAATCAAATAGAAAATTTGTGGTATATTTTGGATATAAAAATTGACAACTGAACATTTAGACGCAAAGACAATTTTAAAAAAGCTATAATGAGCGGATGGAATAATATAACAAAATAAGAGACCCAAAATTTGGGAAACTCAATGCCAAATTGTCTAGTTGAGGCCATTAAGGCTAAAGGAGGCCCCACTCGATACTAATTTCTATGGAATTCGATCAATTTGTCATTATTTTTGAACTGTACGATTATTTTTTTTGCAGTCAATTTTATGCATCATTAGATCAATTGTGTAAAAATTCAATAGGTTTGAAAAGCAATTAATTCACTAATATACAAATAAATTCTTAAAACAACGCTTGATAAGATATTTAAAAAAAGTTTTTGAATATTTTAACGGACAACTCATTTTTTGACGCAATCTTTAAAATTATGATTTTTTTTAAGTGTACAATTATTTTTTTTGCATACTGTATATATATATATGACGCTACTTTTGGCCGATACCGATGCATCGGTCTTAAATCTGAATTTGTACTATTTTCTTTTTTACTAATAGGTAAATCAGGATTTTTTTTCAAATATAATGTTAAAGGTCAGTTTTACTGTTAGCTTATTTGCAAAAGTTTGCTTAATTTTAATGCTTGCTTATTTGCTAAAATTTGCCTAATGTTTAGTTTGCTTTGCTAATTGTTGATTTGTTTTTTATTTAATTTTATTTCTAAGTTTAATTTCTAGAAATTAGTAATTTATATTTATATATTAAACAGCAGCCGTAGCACAGTGTTTAGCGGGCTTGCCTCAGAAGCTATAGATCTGTGATTCAACGCCATATATATATATATATATATATATATATATATATATATATATATATATATATATATATATATATATATATATATATATGTATATATATATATATATATATATATATATATATATATATATATATATATATATATATATATATATATATATATATATATATATATAGATATATACACACACAAAAGTACTACTAAAAGAAGTACTTTAGTAGGAAGGGAACTCGACTCAATTACACTTTTAAAAATAAGATAGAAATTTCTACCTTAGGGTAGGATATGTGATATACCATCACTAAGATATAATTCTACCTTCTAAGGTAAAAAAATAAAAATTTTAAGGTAAAAAATTGCATGAAAAATTATTATTTTCAATAAAATTTTATACCTGAGAAAGTAAAAAATTACACCTTACTAAGGGTATATCACATAAGGAACAATTTTTTCTTTTTTTTTTAGATTTTAAAAACATATATCTGTGTATGAATGTAACATGAAATTTTAAAATTGATGAAATAATAGATTGCTATTTATAGTTGGAAGGAGCTTTAAGACAATATATATAAAGTGTAAATATATATATAATCACTAAGTGAAAAATTATCCAAACTAAGAAACTAAAAACATAGTTATTAGATTTTTAAATGACAAGTTTAAAATATATAGATTTAATGAAGAAACTATAGTCTTAAATGGCTTTTAACTTAGCATAAAAAAAGACCTTTAGCCACCTGGTGTGTTTTTTTATTTAATTTTTATTTTATTTAATTTAATTTTATTTAATTTAATTTTGTCATGGAAATTTCATATTAAATATATTGAAGGTAAGATCTCAAAAAATATTGCCATGTTATACCGAACGAAACCTTTTCTTAATAACGAGTCTTTAAAAAATTTATATTTTTCGTTTATACACAGCTATCTTTCATACTGTAACATTTCCTGGGGTAGCACTAATCACACTAAACTCAAAAAAATTTATAGTAAACAAAAACATGCTTGCAGGATAGTATTTGGGGCAAATAGAAAAACACAATGCGAACCTCTCTTACGTCAGCTTGTAGCTTTAAATATTTATAAGCTTAATATTCATCAAGTAATGATATTTATGTTTAAAGCAAAACTTGGGTTTTCCCCAGTAACATTTCAATCCTACTTTAATGAAATCTCCCATAAATATCCAACCAAATTTTCAGTGAATAACTTTGTGGTTCCCATAAACTTTCTTAAATTAAGTTCGTACCAAATTCAATATCGGGGGCCTTTAGTTTGGAAAGAATTTCTTCCAATCTTTAGTAAAAAACAAAACTTCGTTTTAAACTGCACTTTGCAAAATTTTAAGGATGATTCAAAACGGCATTTACTGAACATGGAATTCGATATACTAGATTTCAAATATCTTTTTTGAAAACAATTTAAAGGTTTAAACTAAATCACTTAAAAATAAATTAAATCTTTAACACTTTCTTTAGCTTTTATTAAAATGGTTTCAAACCATTAGTATAAAAGATAACGAAAATAAAATTGTCTTTTTCGTTCGTATTTTTGATGATATTAAATAATCAGCCCAAATACTTATGTTTACATATATTGCTTTTTTTTTTTTTTTTTTTTTTTTCAATTAAACAAAACATTTTTTTGTGTGTTTTCATAACTTTCATAACTTTTTGTCGTTTTTACTTTTTTATTTTTAAAATTGTTCTGCTTGAAGATTGTTAGCAACAAATTATTTTATTGCTGAAGTTTTTGATTTGTTTTTGTTTTTGTATTTATACTGTCTTTTTGTCTTTTATCATTTATTGTGCATGTAAATTTTTGTGTGACGGGGCTCGGTGATAAGACAACCTGTCTTCTTCTTGCTCCGGCCAGGATTTTCTTTTATTGTAATTTCTTTTTTGTAATATTTATCAACGGCAAATTAGATAAATAATAAAAAATAAATAAAAAAATATTTAAAGTTTTCATTAAAAAAAAAAAGTTTTTTTTTAAGATGTTCTTACAATTTGTATATATGAAATAAATATTTATATTAAATATCAAATAAATATATACCAACTTTCAAACTTAAAAAATTTAAGCGTTAGTAAATATTCATTTAATATACGTTTATCGTTTTCATGTTTTTTATTGAAAGTTTGAGTTGAAGCTCTAAACTAATAAAACTTTTTAAAATATTTAAAATAACTTTGTTTTATAAAAATATTTAAAATAACTTTGTTTTATAAAAATATTTAAAATAACTTTGTTTTATAAAAATATTTAAAATAACTTTGTTTTATAAAAATATTTAAAATAACTTTGTTTTATAAAAATATTTAAAATAACTTTGTTTTATAAAAATAATTAAAATAACTTTGTTTTATAAAAATATTTAAAATAACTTTGTTTTATAAAAATATTTAAAATAACTTTGTTTTATAAAAATATTTAAAATAACTTTGTTTTATAAAAATATTTAAAATAACTTTGTTTTATAAAAATATTTAAAATAACTTTGTTTTATAAAAATATTTAAAATAACTTTGTTTTATAAAAATATTTAAAATAACTTTGTTTTATAAAAAAATTTTAGAAAAGTTAGTTTTATAAAAATTTTAAATACCCAAATAAAAAATCAGTCTTTTTAAGTTTTGTCGGCCGACAATATTTGTCCCTCGTAATATTTGCATAAGTAATATAACAATAAATTAAGCAAATACATTTTAAGTAAATAAGCTTTAGATTTGTTAAGTTTACAAGCTCACCGGACCCGTAAAAATATGGGTCTTTGTAAGTCTATTCTACACCGACCTTTTCTATACTTTTTCATAATATATAACCTAGGTGTCCAAACCACTAAAATACGGGTCTTCACCAAACCAACCATTTCTATACTTATTTATTCCACACTATTTACTTCAATATTTTTAATATCATAGAGCACCAATGTCGCAAATATGACCATAGCTGGCACCGAACTTTGGAGCACTAGATTTTAAAGCAAGCATCATGATCAGAAAAACCTCTAGATAACTTATCTGGAGAGAAGTGAACAAGATAATAATTTTTTTCTAATTTAATTTTAGATATTAAATTATAAGTTGAAAAAATAAAATTAAATAAAATTGTAATACAAATTAGTGTGTACTTTACGCATTGTATAACTACGTGTTAAAACATCCTTAAATAATAAGTTAACCTTATGCAAAAAAACGCACAGATGGTTAATAAGGTCGTTTTTAATAATTAGATACTTTAGTTTAGTTAATACTCGATTGGTATTAAATAATTAATAAAATATATTAATCTTAAATGTTTTTTCATCATAAAGTTTTCTATTCTGAAAATGCTATATAAAAACACTCAATAAAAATTCTATTTATGCAAGCTTAAAATGTAAGAAATGAGCTCTGCTTTACTATTTAACTATTCATTTAAATATTAATAATTAATAAATTAGAAATTTTTTAGTTCAATTCTAGTTTGCATCAGTAATAGTAACAGTTTAAAGTTTTTAAAAGTTAATTTCAGAAAGATTATATGCTGCGACATGCAACATGGGTTCGTAAATTCAACAAACAAATAATAGAGCCCACAAAATGACCTTAAAACTAACATAAACATTATACTTATAGTATGCGGTCACTGAAAAAAAATGTTTTGTTAATGTCAATGTTAAAAACTTTACAATTTGATGAATTTTTTTGTGTGAAAGCAACAAACAATGGCACCTCCAATGATACGAGAAAACGTTAGTGGTGTATATGGTTTTCCAACGTCAACAATGGATTGGTGTGAAGAAAACTTTGTGGTTACTTATGCCATAGCTGAGTTTTGGAATACAATTAGTAATTGGGTTATGATCTTTCCTCCTATGTTTGTTGCGTATCGTTTGTGGAAATTTCAACTTGCTGAATACCGTGTTATTACAGCATTCATCGCTTTAATGACAATTGGGTTTGGATCATTTGCTTTCCATTGTACTCTACTATATCAATCTCAATTGTTAGATGAGTTACCAATGATTTATGGCACGTGCGTTATGTTGTATTGTATGCTAGAACTACACGGAATAGAAAACAAAATAAATATTTTTACCTCTGCTGTTTTAATAGCAATTTCTATTGCTATTACCATGGTATATGTTTTACTTAAAAGTCCGCTTATATTTTTGTATAGTTATGGTACACTTGCAACTACTTTGTTTATGCTAAACATCCGAGCATGTGCCAGATACACGGGTAATAGAAAGTTGTTGATATTGTCTTTAGCTAGTTATACTTTTGGTTTTATTTTATGGAACATTGATAATGAATACTGCCAAAAAGTTCGAAAAGTGCGTAACGCTTTGCCATTTCTTTTTCAGCCAATAACCCAATTGCATGCATTATGGCACTTTTTTGCTGGCATCGGAACATACGGTCAAATTATTTTTACAATGGATCTTCGTATAAAATGTTTACACTTCGATTCAAGATCAGCGTATATATGCAAATACATTTTATACTTTGTAAAAGCTCAAAGTTTTAAACACAACTTTAAAGACAAAAATTAGCTTTCTTAACAACTTAGTTATTACGTTTATTAATATGAGCCACAAACGTTTAATGGCTCTCAAGTCGCATAATTATGGCATTAAGCTTAATGTAAGCTACTGTAACAAGTAAATCTTACAAGATTTACTAGTTTAATTTTAATTTTTATTCACAAAGTTTAGTCTAACAAATCTGCATGATTTATCCATAAATTGTCAAACTGTTTTTTTTTAGTTAATAAAAAAATGAAATGATCCAACACTTTTACCTTTTTTTGTCACTGTTATGGGTAAGAAAATAAGAAAACGATTTTTACGGAAATAAGTTATTTTGCTTTCAAGTTTTGTTTTTGTTTCTTTTAACTTTCAAAAGTTTCTCACTTTTTAAATTTATTGTTTTCTTTTCAAAAAGATATGGCTTTTGGTTTTCTCGTTTTATTTCTGATTTGCTAACGGTTATAAAAACTTCATTTTTTCTATTTAACGCATGGTAAAAACAACCACGGTTTAACCGTGGTTGTTTTTACCATACGTTAAATAGAAAAAGGCCTTGATTGTTTTGGCCTTGGCCTTAAAAAAAAAACATATTTTCTCATTGATTTTGTTGAGTTCTGCGCATAATCTTGGTCCATTTTTACAAAATGTGGTTTTTTTGTCACAGCACTTGCTACTTTCAATTTTGTTAATAATTGACCTTAACGTAAAGCGAAAATTGGTATTTTGTCTTGAAAATGTTTGCGTAGGCCTTGGCCTTGAAACTCTTAATCTTGGCCTTGACCTAAAAAACTCTTAGCCTCGACCTTGTCCTTGGCCTTGTAACTTTTGGCCTTGGTCATAGCCTTGGCCTTTTCCTTGGCTTTGTAACTTTTGGCTTTGATCTTGGCCTTGTAGCGTGTGGCCTTGGCCTTGCTACTTTTGGCCTTGTTAACAACTCTGCTTTTGACTTATCAAAGATTTTAAACAAAGTTTGTCATGCTGAACTTCTTCTGCTGGAGTTCTCATGTACAAAATAAGTTTTTAAAATTTCTTTTTACTCCGATTGCAAAAAAATTAAAAATAAAAATTTTAAAAAATGCATTTTTCAATATAATAATGTCTTCATATCTAGATCGGTGGTTCGGTCTTCGAATTATACTTTTTCTCATCTAGAGATCATACAAAAACAAATCATTGTAAAGCTCAAGCAGCCAAATAAAACTTTTGTTTCTCTGTGAGTGTGGTCACTAGACAAACAAACAATAATCTTTTGTTATTTTCAACAAAGTTCTTTCATATAACTTGTCATTTTGTTAAGCCGCAGCTTAACAAAATGACAAGTTTCAATTTAATGACAAGTTTCAATTTAATGACAAGTTTCAATTTAAACGGATGCGCGCATCCGTTTAAATTGAATTTGTTCTTTTGCTTTCACTTTTTTTTATTGATCTAGTTTTTTCGCGTTTTTTTACTTGAAGTTCTTTCTCTTTTTATATTTTTTTTTAGGCAAAAATATGCAGCTTTTAAAGTCATGTCTTAATAGCTTTTTGCTTTTTAATCGTCTTCATGATTTTTTCAGTTACATGGCAACTTAACACCCACACACTCACACACTTAAAAAACTGTCAGTCATGGAACAATAATATTTTATTCGTATATTTATTTTATGATATTGGTTCATTAACTTCGTGATTTTTATAATAAAAAAAAACTATCTTTTACCATTTTCCTAGGAAAAATTTACAACCAACCAAAAAATGCAGCAGATGCTGCATTTTTTGCAATTAAAATTTAATACATTTACTACCAAACAAAAAATGCAGCAGATGCTGCAAAGTTTATTTTTAATTAAGTTGGATTGAGGATCCTCAATCCAACTTAATTAAAAGTAAACTTTGCAGCATCTGCTGCATTTTTTGGTTGGTAGTACCAACCAAAACCATTTACTACCAACCAAAAAATGCAGCAGATGCTGCAAAGTTTATTTTTAATTAAGTTGGATTGAGGATCCTCAATCCAACTTAATTAAAAATAAACTTTGCAGCATCTGCTGCATTTTTTGGTTGGTAGTAAATGTACTCCGTTATATCAGGAATCAACTAAATTATTCTCAAAAAAAAATACTATGGTTTAGCTCGTTCCATTTTGAAACAATTTAAACAAGTTTTTATACACTGCGTTTCAAAACGTTCTTAAAGTATTGTTTTCCAGATGAAACTCTTTTATTTTGAAAATTTAAAGAATATTTATTATTGCTTTTTTTTTGTTTGTTTTTTTAAGCTTTCATGTTTGCTGTATACTTTTTCAAAGTTTAACTTTTTTTACATTTTTTAAGTTTTTAAGGATCAGGGCTTCAAAAGATCGGCGCGAATAGAAATTTACAATACATTTCCCAGTGGGAAAAGAGATATCTTTAGACGAATAAAAGACGTCTTTTTTATGACTTGTTATGTCTTTTTATAATTAGCCTAAATAAAGACGTGGAAAAGACGTCTTTTAAAAAAAAGTCTTCAAAAAAAAGGTCGAAAAGACGTCAATCGGTTGTTCGTCTTTAATAAGACGTAGAAAAGACGTCTTTTATATCGATGACCCTTAAAAAAAGAAATGAGAAAATTTACATTTAAATATTTAATTAAACAACACCCAGTAGAACTTTCTTTTCTTTAGGGAGGGGAGGGAAAATTTACTAACTTTTCGTTTCCCACTGAGAAACAACTTTAGTTGTTAATAAGCAATTCATAATTTGCTTATAATAATTATAATAAACAAATTATTATTTGCTTATTAACAACTTTCGTTGTTAATTTTCTTAAGCAAATCATTATTTTCTTCAGAAAATAAAATAAAAAAAATATTGACAATAGAACCTAACAAAGATGGGTTTTAACCCACAGTATCGTTAATTACGATATCTTTGTTACGTTCTGATTGGCCCGTTTTTTGTTTACAAAATACGAAATTTTATAAAACTTTTTTTATGTGAAACATTTTTGCATAGGAAATTTGATTTAAAATAAACTATTTTCGGTAAGCGGGTTTATTTTATAATTTATGTAATAAAATAATATATTATACAGAGCCGTCCTTAGAAAATGTGAGGCCTGGAGAAAACCACTTTTACGAGGCTTTCTTGAAAGTCATCATTTTAGGCTCTTTGACTAAGAAAAACTTTTTTTCTTACTGTCTGAAAAGAGGTTGTATAAGTGCAAAACATAAATTTCGGGTTGGTATAATTTTGAGTTGTTATTTTCGTGTAGGTTTATAAAAAGGACTGAGTGCTTTATAAAATAATCTAGAATAATAACAATAAAGTTTATTCTAAAAGTTATTAATGGCCAAATCATATAAAATAAATAATAATTTTTGTCTAAAAAGAAATAAATGAATTAGAATAACAAATAAATAGAATAATAAATAAAAGGATGAAAACTTAGATGTTACAATTGATAGCCTTTCTTGATTCATGGATGAACTGAACTATGTCTTCATGAGTTTCAAGCGTGAAAAACTCCTTCTGCGCTTGCCACAGGTATAGTCAATAAAATTCTATACGTTATAAATGCATGCGAAAATGGGTTTTGAATCTGGTGAATAAATCTCAAAATCTTTGCAGCTGTTTCCACCTCAGCCGGTAGAGGTTCTCGAAGAACCTAAGTTTAGAAAAAAGATCATTTTCACAAACATTCTTTTCTTCATCAAAACTTAGAAATGATTCTAGGTCTTTACACTTTTGAAACAATTTATCTTCTTTTACTACCTTTAGTTTTTTTACATGATACAAAAATCCAAACATAGTATCGTAATTAGTTATTTGTTCAAACCTTCTGCAATAACAAAAAAATACTCGACTTTAAACATTTGCTTGAGGGATCCTGCAATAGGATCTCCTTAGCACTCATTCTTTTTTTCTTTCTCTGTCTGGCTTTTTTGAAATTTGGCTCTATACCAAGAGTTTCACTAAGTTCTCTTGTTAACACTGTTGCTGCCACAAAACCTAAATCTAAATTTCTGAAAAAAACTGAACTAACCTTTGAAGTAATTGCGACGCAACTCCTAGGTGCATTTTTTGAGTCTGTAGGCTTTTTTTTCATAACTTATTTCATTCATAACTGACGGTATTTCACTATTGGCTTTTTTTTTTTGATCCTCAGTGAACTCAACTAGTTCAACTAATGCAGTACAAACTTCTTTAATTTGATATCGAAGCGCTTTTACGCTTTCAAGTTTACTTTCCCAACGAGTGTCACAGGACTATTTTGCAGCCAGATTTATTACGTGTTGTTGAATGAAAATTTTCCATTGCATTTTTGACAAAGAAAAAAGTACAAAAATTCTTTGCACAACACCAAAAAACGTCATAGATTTAGATGTTTTGGTGCGTCCCAAATTAGGAAGTTGAGGCTATGGCTAGCGCAGGGCATGTAAAATGCTTTTGGATTTATTTCTAAGGTACTTAAGAGTGGATACTTTTTATATTGGAACCATTGTCATACCATTGACCCCGTTAGATGAAGTTAGATTGATTTGCAATCTAACTTCATCTAACTCTTGTAAAAGAACATCAGTTAGATTTTTTCCCGTTGTTGATTAAACGTCTAAGAATCCAAAGAAATGTTCTTCGATGCTTAAATCATTATTTTCACTCTTAACAGTAGTTGCATTCATATTAATTTTTACAAATTGCATGACCAATTACAACTGCTCTCTCTGATTAAAAGGCTTACCAATGGATTATAAGCTTAATGCTTTTATCTGGGATGATACCGTATATATAACTGGAAAATTTAAAAATGATCCCAAAATGACATTCTCTGAAACAACACTAATTACAATAAATTCGGTAAACCCTATATTCAACACTCTCCTTAGACCAACATATAAACAACACTGTTAAATCCTGCAACTACCATATTTGTGATATTTTCCACATTCGTCAATATCTCACCAATGAAGCAGCTAACACAATTGCTTGTGGCATTATTAACTCTCAACTTGACTATTGTAACAGTCTTTTATCAGGTTCTAACAAAAAAAAATCTTTAAAAATCCAACGTACTTAAAATAGTTTATCTCGCATTGTCTCTCATTCTCCTTTTTATTCAAAATCAGAAGAGTTGCTAAAATCTCTTCGTTGGTTACCAATCCATCAACAAATAGTTTATAAAATATTAGTTATTACATATATCATATATATAAAATATTAGTTATTACATATATAACCATATATTGTAAAGGGCTTCATGACAAGATCCTCATGATCTTCTAGAAGTCCTGTCGTTAAAAAATAAAAAATT